CACACCCATATAGGTAGATCTTTTAATCTTGCACCTGCAAAATGCAATTTTTCAAAAGATCTATTAAGAAGAAAACTTCAACCTAACCTTTTCTTGCAGATCTAAGCACTTACTTTGGGATGATTTAAACTAGTGCTTCAATCTCTAAGTGTGGGCTTTCCGCATTGAATTCAGCCTCTAACGTTGTATTAGAGGGGAATTGGGTATCCCACCATTAGAGATTTCAAATGGACTTTAATCCCATCCCTTTAGCCGACTTGATCACCAAGTCTCTAGCTAGTCCTTTTGTCAAGTGATCCGCTAGATTTTGCTCAGACCGAATAAATCCTATAGTAATCACCCCATGAGTGATCAGCTCACGTATCCCGCTATGTCTCAAGCCTAGGTGTCGCGACTTACCGTTATACACTTGGCTATAAGCTTTAGCCAAAGTAGCTTTACTATCGCAATGGATAGAAATGGGTGACACCGGTTTCAGCCACAATGGAATCTCAGAGACTAAGTTTCTTAACCATTCCGCCTCTCTCCCTGCAGCCGCTAACGCTACAAATTCCGATTCCATAGTAGAATTTGTAATACAAGTTTGTTTCTTTGATGCCCATGAAATGGCACCTCCCCCAAGTAGGAACACCCAACCACTTGTAGAAGAATGATTTTCCTCGTTGGTGTTCCAACTTGCATCCGAATATCCTTCTAAGACCGAAGGAAATCCAAAATATGACAAACCATAATTTATGGTTCCTTTCAAGTACTTGAGCACCCGCCTTACAGCTTGCCAATGATGAGTACTAGGATTACTAGTATATCTACTCAACTTTCCTACCGCATAAGCTATATCCGGTCTAGTGCTAGTCATGGCATACATTAAGCAACCAATTACTCGTGAGTACTCGAGTTGTGATACCGCTTGTCCCGTATTAGGCATAAGCTTCACGCTCGCATCCATGGGAGTGCTCACGGGAGAACAATTTTCATAATTGAACTTTTTAAGCACTTTCTCAATGTAATGTGATTGAGTTAAAGATATTCCTTTGTTCTCACGCTTGATTCGAATTCCAAGAATCACCTCCGCCTCCCCCATGTCTTTCATGGCAAAATTTGATGATAAGAACTCCTTTGTAAGTTCTACTTGTCTAAGGTTGGTACCAAAGATCAACATGTCATCAACATATAAACAAATGATCACTCCATTACCGGAATCATCAAATTTGCTATACAAACACTTGTCCGCCTGATTTAATTTAAACCCATTTGACAAGACAGCCTCGTCAAACCTTTGATGCCACTGTTTAGGTGCTTGCTTTAGACCATATAATGACTTTACCAACTTACACACCTTATGTTCATTACCAAGCATAACAAACCCTTCGGGTTGTTTCATATACACCTCTTCCTCCAAGACGCCATTTAAGAATGCCGTCTTGACATCCATTTGGTGGATCACAAGGTTGTGAATGGATGCCAAGCCAATTAATAACCTTATAGAGGAGATCCTAACAACCGGAGCATATGTATCAAAATAATCAATGCCTTCCTTTTGTCTAAAACCTTGAACAACCAACCGAGCCTTAAATTTGTCGATCGTTCCATCGACTTTCATCTTCTTCTTGAAGATCCATTTGCATCCTAAAGGCTTGCAACCGGGTGGAAGATCCGTTAAGAACCACGTATTATTTCCCATGATGGAATCCATTTCATCATTTACGGCTTCTTTCCAAAAAATAACATCATTAGACGTCATAGCCTCACTAAAAGTTCTAGGTTCATCATCAATATGATAACAATATGAGTATTGGAAACCAATCTCATCTCTTGACCCTTCAACTAAGTAAAGTTGAAAATCGGGACCGAAAGATTTTTCGATTTTCCCTCGTTTACTCTTACGAAGCATAGGTGACTCGTTAGGAGGAACGAACATGTCGTCTCTTTCCTTTGTTCCACTTGAACTAGGAACTAAATCCTTTGGTCTAGGTATCGACGAGAAACGATTCTCATCAAATATTGCATCTCTTGACTCAATTACGGTGTGAACCGCTATAGAATCATTAGGTTCTATGACATAAAACCTATATGCCTTGGAATGCAAGGCATAACCAATGAAGATGCAATCAATACCTCTTTCTCCCAAAGTCTTAATCTTTGGTTGGGGTAATCTAACGATCGCCCTACAGCCCCAAACTCGAAGATAGTTCAAGTTTGGTTTCTTTTTATACCAAAGTTCATATGGAGTAACTTTGTTCCTTTTGTTGGGAACTCTATTTAATAAATAACAAGCCGTTAACATGGCTTCACCCCAAAATCCGTCACTTAATCCCGAGTAAGATAACATGGAATTAACCATTTCTTTTAGAACTCTATTTTTTCTCTCGGATATACCATTTTGTTGTGGCGTATACGGAGCCGTAGTCTCATGTATTATGCCCACGGACTGAAAATACGTAGGATCATAATACTCCCCACCTCTATCGGTGCGTAACTTCTTAACCAAGTCACTATGTTGTAATTCAACCTCGGTTTTATAAACCTTGAGTTTATCTAAGGCCTCATCTTTAGCATGTAATAAATACACATAACAAAAACGAGAATAATCATCTATGAACGTGATGAAATATTTCTTGTTTCCTAAAGATGGTGTAGCATGTAAGTCACATAAGTCACTATGAATAAGTTCAAGCACCTTTGAATTTCTTTCAATGCTTTTAAAAGGTTGTCTAATTATCTTAGTCAACATGCATGTTCTACACTTCTCTATATTCACGTCAAAAGTAGGAATTAATCCTTCTTTAGACATATCAATCATTCTTTTATAATGCACGTGGCCTAATCTTGCATGCCATAAAGAAGTATCATTTTTGCTAGAACATGCCATGTAAATAGAATTGACAACTTTATTAATATTAAGCATAAACATGCCATTACAAAAGTATCCAAATCCAACAAAGATACCACACTTAGATAAGACATACTTGTCTGACTCATACACTTGTTTAAATCCACACTTATTTAAAACACTACCGGAGACTAAGTTTTTCCTAATTCCGGGTACATGAATTACATCATTAAGATCAAGAGTTTTCCCGGAACTAAACTTTAACACCACTTTTCCACGACCTAGGATAGGAGCGGTTGACTCGTTGCCCATATAAAGTACGGATCCATCTTGAACCGGCTCGTACGTCTTGAACCAGCCACGATCCTTGCAAACATGTATTGTTGCACCCGAGTCAATCCACCATGCCACCTCATCATCCTGCACATAGAATGCCTCAGCTATTTTTGATACATAATACACTTTTGAGTATGAATCAAAAACAGAATTCTGACCTTGATGAGAGGATGGGCCTTGATCCTTAGACCCTTGCCCAAAACGGTTTTGTTGCATTTTATTCTTATCCTTTGCTGCCCGACAATCACGTTTGAAGTGACCCGGCTTGTTACAAATCCAACAAACGCTCTTGAATCGTTTGTTAGATCCATCATTGGTGTTGTTAGTAAAGGGGCGCTTCTTCCCCTTGTTCTTTATTTTAGAACTCCCACTCTCCTCCATCATATTGATTGAAGAAGTTTCAGCCTCCTTATCTTTGGGTTTTCCACCCTCTTGCACCCTTAGAGATTCCTCTATGCGCAAATGGCTACCAAGTTGTACAAGAGACAACTCTTCCTTTTTGTGTTTTAACATGCGCCTAAAATCTTTCCACGAAGGCGGCAACTTGTCGATGATACACGACACCGAGATGGATTCATCCATCTTCATGTTGTGTTGAGCGAATTGGCCTAGGATGCGAAGTAATTCATTGTATTGCTCCATTACCGGCCTTGAATCGGACATCTTGTAATTATTAAAATCACTCACAAGGAACTTCTTACTAGAAGCATCCTCGGCCATGTACTTCGATTCCAACGCATCCCATAGTTCCTTTGCGGATTCGACATTTTGATAGACATCAAAGAGAGAATCAGACATACCGTTGAGAATGTGGCCACGACATATGTAGTCATCGTTTTCCCACTTAAGTTGCTTCCTTGTCTCCTCCACGGACTCGTTCTCACCATTCTCCGACACGGTGGGCATTGGCACACTTAGAACGTGAACCACATTGAGCGTTGTGAGGAGAAAGTGCATCTTCTTTTGCCATCTTCTAAAATCAACTCCTTCAAACTTATCCAATTTGCCAAACTTTGACGTCATCTCACGCACAGAAACATTAGCCATTATTCACCGTAAATACTCTTTAAGATTGTTGTGTATCGACGTTGTATCTCCGAGACGTAACGAACGTGAACTTGGATAGAGATTGAATCGCGCACGAGAGCACTTTCCTTAAAGAGTATTTCGACCCTTCTCAAGCCTTGGGTTACACGAAATCCCTTCTAGGATAAGACAATCAAAGTTCTCTCTTGTTCTAGGCTAAGACACAAGAGAAACAAATAGAGCTTTTGTGTTTTGTTTTTGTGTTTTGCACTAAAGATTAAGACAATCTTTAGTCTCGTGAATCTCTCTTTTCTCCTCTTCTTATCACTCTTTGACACAAGAGAAACAAAGTTTATATATGGTTCAAAAGTTGTGACGTACGTTTGCAACCGTACGTTTAAATAATAACCATAAATTGAATAGTTGCAATGGTTAATTTAATAACCGTCGGTTTACACTTAAATTTATAACAGTAACTAGCTAGATAATGCCTTATTATTCTTACTCTTGTGATGTTATCATAACTAGATCATTTGGTAAGTGACAAAGTCGTACATGTGATGTGATGTCACGTTATGAATATTTTAATTTACGTTGGTCTTGGTCGACTCCAATTATTCAAAAAGCTGGATCTTTCTTCCTATGTGCTAATGGAATATTCGGATAATTTGAAATGTCATTATCTACCCAAGTCAACAGTCGACAGGCATGAGTGATATAGTCTTTTTTTTTTTTTTTTTTTCCGGCAAATCACATATATTATATTATAAAAACTTTTACATAATACATGAATAAATCCAATACAACCGTTAACGCAAATAGAGGAAATTGTAAACAATTTCGATGAAAAAGTGGAAATGACCAAGCTTTTCGATTGAAAGTCTTACAGGCTAACAGATCAAATCTGTTACGTCCCCCTTTCATACCCTTGTAGTTGGCTATCACCTTATAGATGAAACTCCAAAATACATATCGCATGACTTTGACTAGTAGAAAATTTCTTAATGTTGCTGGAATTGATTTTGTACCATGTATTATGACACTCGATAAAATATCCTCTCTTCGCCGATACTTGCAAAGACCCGACCTGATCTTGAATTTTGATGATGTTTTCCTCCAAAATTCCTTGGAAAGGTTTTGAACCGTGATGGACCAATGATGGACCGTGACCATCCATTCTGCAAAAAACCATGGGCCACGATACAACAGCAAATTCATGGTCACCATTGCAGAACCAATCTGAACTTTATTTGATCCCATAATTCGACCAACATAACCATCAACAAAAACCCTTAAGCGAGGCAATTGAATAGTCATGGCCCAAATGTTTTGACTTTGTGGATCCAGTATAAACGTCACGAGAGACACTCGATCACTCACTGTCTCTTGTACAACTTCCACCGGAAAAGTAATCAGAGCATCATCAATTTCAGAATTAATTTCTTGCATCCTGCATCTGAGATTAACATTCATATTCAAACAGAGAGAAGATAGATTTAGGGATTCGCAATCGACATATCTGAATTTAAAGCCAATCTTCCGTGGTGGTTTCCTTAAACAAATATCAAATTCCATAGACTGGAAAAAGAAACCGTTTGGGGATTTCCCCAACGGAAGGAAACCGACCCTTTCTCTCATATAGTTGGGGGTTTACCAGTCATAAACCTTCCGCAAACGCATCCATTTTCAAATGCTAAACCAGTCGTTCAAAACGCTTGATAACGCTTGAAACCGCAACTGCCCGCTTCCGCAAACTTCCGCAACCGCAACCGCAACCGCTGCGTTTAAACCAGTCAGGCCCTTAGTTAATTACAAAATTTATTAATTTCAGCGAATAATCACACATTTTTTTCTTTTCACCAGCACATAAAATTCTTTTGGAATATAATTAGTATATATATATATATATATATATATATATATATTGGGTACATATAAAACTAAATTTTATTTCAAAAAACCAATAACTAAGAACTAAAAACAAAAATCCAAAATCTAAAACCAACTAAGAAACTGCTGCATGCCATTCAAAGCCTTAATATGAAGTTAAAAAAAAAAAAAGTAAAAGAAAACGGAAACATGAAATAGTTTACAGTTGGAAATGCATCATGCATGCACCATGAAACTATAATGTTTGCCGTGTTTGAATTGACATTTTCTAAAATAGAATTATAAATACGGTTACGTACACTCCTTAATTTCATAAACATGCAAGACGACTACCACTAGATTAATTAAATGTATGATAATATAGTTCTTTATAAACTAATTTTCAGTTAAAAGTATAGCTTTTGTTCAAAATCTTTCAACGGCATTAATCATGATAATCTAGTAAGTAGTTATTCTATACCATATAAGTATCTTTTAGTGAGTCGGAAATATGTCATAAGCCATTACGCGACCATGCAATATATATTGCTTCCGTGAAGCATCCCACTAATAAAGTGTCTAAATGGATGCTGTCAAAACAACAAAAGTTTTTTAAAAGGAACAAAAGAAGTTTTCACACTTGTCGTTAGCTTCCCACACTCTTCTTCGTCCTGATAATGGACTTTAATTATCATCTTATACGTCAACCAAATTATCAGCTAACCATCATCTCTTTATTCAGTTTAGGCAGCTTTGTTGCTTTATATATCATATTCACTATATTATACTAAAAGTCTAATTAAATCACATCGTAATTATAAGACGCCGCGATACATCATACATGATACATGCATGTAGCCATGCATATGAAGAAAGTAAAAAACAGTGCTATTAGTTTATACTTAAGGAAAAGTCACCATGTAGGTCTAGGCCATTTTCCTCAAGCGCGAAATTTAATTATTCCATTTGGTTAGTCGAAGTAGTGTCATTAATTATTCCATTTGGTTACTCGAAGTGGTGTCATTACTTATTAGAAAATCCGGTGAGTGGGCTACTCGACGGCTACACTCACCCTAAGATAATTAATTGGATGGTAAAAGTAACCGCAATTATATAATTATACTAGATTTTAACTCGCGGTACACCGCGGGATGATTTATTTTTTAAAGTTAGTATAAATAAAATTTTGCAAATTGTATTTCCTTATTTTAGTTTACAATTGTTATTAAATAAAAATATACCACGAGTCCTCGGTACAATTGTTAATAAACTGAGGATTTAACCCGTATAAAAGCGGTATGTTAATGATATTATAATATTTTATAAATATTGATTCAAACCAATCCGTCATATAAATCCGTTCCAAAATATAATCCGTTCCGTAATTTTTTAATATGTCACATGATTATTTTTCTAAAAATAGTGATTTTAAAATTTAATGATTATTTATTATAAGTTTACAAATTGTATCATTCTCTAAGATATTTATATTTTAGTAAACTGCATATTTAATCTGTATTAAAGCGGCATATGAATGATATTTTAAAATTTTATAAATATTGATTCAAACTCGTCCACCATGTACCCCATTCAGAAATATAATCCATCCTGTAATTTTTTAACTCGTCCCGTAGTTTTTTTTTTTTAAGTAGTAATTTTAAAAATTTAACGATTATTTATTATATATAAAAATTTGCAAATTGCATCATTCTCTAAAACATTTATATTTTATAGTTTACAATTGTTATTAATTAACATTATACTACGGAACAATTTTTGGTTTTATACAATATTTTCTAAATGAGACTGATTTGATATGTCTAATATTGGTGGTATTAAAAAAAATATTAAGGATTTAATCCATACTGAAGCGGCAGATTAATGATATTTTAATTTTTAATTATTGTTGATTCAAAAACATATCCCGCCAAACCCATTCCGCCACAAAACTTATTTATTTTATTAATGTTGATCTTATTTATGATATGATTCTGAATCATTGTCTAAATATTTTAGTCGATGTGCAATATTGAACACACATTTTTCGTTAATTGGATAATATATGTCCGTTTTTAAAATTTCGAATCACAATATATGCAGACAAAAACTTAATTTTTTTTACTTTATGTATTATATGATGATTCAAAACAGTTAAAAACAAATTAAAAAAAAGATGATAAGAGAATCATAATTCTAAATCTTAATCAAATCTTCTAAATATCTAAATTATTAAATATGGAATATCCGGTGTATGAGTTGGGTTAAATATAATTCGTCCAACAAACTTTTTTTTTTTTTGGGCAAAGATTAATTTCATTAAAAACTTAAGGTTCACATACAACCGACTTCAAGGAGGATTTTGCAAGAGCATCGGCCTCCTGATTTTCTCCTCTAGGAACGAAAATGAAAGAGATTTTGCTGAAATTTAAAGATAGAATCAGGATATCATGGAGAATCCCGTGAAGCTCCTTTGAAGGCTGCTTCGAGTTGATAGCTTCGATTGCTTGTTTGGAATCGGAAGCGAGTGTGATGTTTGTGATGTCTAGAGAAAGGGCGTGTTGTGAGCTAGGTGGATTGCCACGGTCTCAGCCATGAGAGGCGATCTGATGTGAAAACTGGCGGAGGATCCTATCTGGCGGAAGCTTTCCAATCGATTGGAGAAGATCCAGCCGAAGCCCGCCGCCCTCTGAGATTCGATCCACGCCGCATCTGTATGGCAAGAGTAAGCACCAGCGTCAATTTTGATTTTATTACACAACTTTACCGACTTCGGTTTCGAATCTGGATCTTGATCCTGAGCTCACTACCATTCCTTTGCTAGGGTGATTGCGTGAACCAGAGTTTCCATTGGAGTGGCGGCCTTGTCATTGAAGATCTTTTGGTTTCTCGCTATCCAGATTGCCCAAATTACCCAAGGCACTAGCGGTCCTGCGCTGATTCCACTGGGAGGGAGACAAATCAAGAGTTTGGAGGCTTCAACTCCTTCTCTAAAAGAAGCTACCCTTTCTCCGACAATAGATGATTTGAAAGGTGCAAGTTTCCAAATCGTGTTGGCGAAAGAGCAATTAAAGAAGAGATGAAGGGCAGATTCATCTTCTCCGCAGAAAGGACAGCCATTTGTAACAGTGATTTTCCTTGCCTTGAGGTTTTCTCCTAGAGGTAACGCTCCTCGCATAGCCTTCCATAAGTGAAACTTCATTTTAGGGGAGCATTTGATGTTCCAAATCTCCTTTGACCAGTTAAAGCCATTGTTTTCTCCTTGACACTGGTTATTACCTTGTAAGACTCTCTGTTTCCTTGCTAGGCTCTCTGTCGGATCAGCACAGCTTGTGTATTGGACTGTTACCTCTCTTAGTTCACCCATAATTTCTTCAGTTGTGGGTACATGTGCAGGTGAAAGAGCAGATTCTCCAGCATTGGAGTCTCTCTTTAGAGGAGGCCTTCTAGTTCTTAAGATTTCAGAGCTGCCATGCCAATCCTCTGTTCTTGGAGTAAGCCTCTCTCTCCACTGCAGATTAGGTTTATAGGGACTGTATTTCTGTTTATCAAAGCTCCTGAGAGAGTCATGTCTGGGCAGGTCACGGGTATGCGCAGGAGATCTCTTCGAAGAGACACTCCTGTGTCCAAAGGATCTGGAGACTTCTGATGTACTGTGACGGATTTCTCAATCATCATACTTTCTTTTGTTTGAAAACTGAGCTCCTTTTGATAAATTGTAGCCTGAGTGGGTGGAGTAGTTCTCCCGCGGTAGGTCTCTGGAGAATCTCTTATTGGAGGTTGGAGGGAGTCTAGAGATATTTGTGAGCTTGGAGGTTGGTATGGGAGTAGTCTGGATGGCTGCATCTTTCTTTGTTACTAAGTCAGGGCAACTAGTAATTTCATGAGATAGCCTGAGACAGTGATGGCAATGTTTCTTAAGGTTTTTGTATTCCAAAGTAATCAAAGCCTCTGTGCCTTCTACAAATTCCACCACTGTTTTCTTTGTTAGAGGTTCCAAACCATTGATTTGAACTTTTATTTTTGCAGCCAATGGAGAGATATCATGATCCAACACAGTTCCCAGTTCTTCTCCTATCTTGTATAACATCTCCTGTTTCCAGAAGTGCTTTGGAAGCCCTTGTGGCTCAATCCAGAAGGGTATTTGCGAAGGAAAATTGGCCGAGATAACCGGCTCCCATCTCTGCTGTATGACCATCCACTGATCAAAATGGTAAGGTATGTTATCCAGAACTTTTGTTAAGTCTTCTTCAAATTCAAAGATGAATTGAAAGCAGCCATTTCCAAGGTCTGAGCCAGTAGCCTTGCCTCTTAGGTTCCATCTGTTTGACAAGTATGGTATGAGAGACCATAGTCGTTGAGCTGCTGGGTTTGTAAGTCTTCCCATAAGGGTAAGTTCATTCTCCTTTATCAGATCTGAGGTGTCGAGGTCAGGGGCTCGAATTCTCTTTGGTGGTGGTGAGGAGAAGTCATTTGGAGAGATTCTTTCTCTGTCCTGTGAGTGATATGGTTTGTTTCTCTCTGCTAGGCTAGAGTGTGGTGAGTTCCTATTATAGTACCTTGGAGATTCGTTGTACTGATGAGCTAGACCCTTTCCTTTTGCAGAGTATGGAATACGGGAGCTCATGATGTACCAGCTAACAGTAGGGCCTCTTCTTCAAAAGATATCTTTACTCAAGGTTCTTCACACAAGGTGAGAGGGTTTGCAAAAAGGACAAAATATGGTAGACTAACTGATCCAAAGATCAGTTAATGAAAGAGCCCAATGCAAAAAAAAATGCATGTTGGGTCTTTGAAAGAGTTCGAATCATTTTCCAGATTTATAAGGTTCTTCACATAAAGTGAGAGCATTCAATGAAGTTTAAGCCACAATCTGCCATATATGCAAGTTTAGGTTATACCTTGTCTGAGGAAGAACACAAGTGAAAAGACTTCAAGGACCAGGGTGATTTCTCAGCATTCTTCTCTTGTGTGCAACAGCTTGGAGGGTAGCCTGGGATGTTTACAAGGTGAGGGGCGTCGCCTACGCCGGTCTCCCCTGTAAAACCCGCCGGAGATTGAAATCTAGAGCAAGTTTTGGCCGGAATTTCTATTTTGGGTAAAGAAAAGTGGTTGGCTTTTTGCTGTTTTAGGTAGTTTTGAGTGGTTGAGATCTGTTTTTTAAAAAGCTTTTACCAGGAATAGCACCTCGAGCTTAGTGCCTGAGAGCGTTTTTGCCTTGGTCAACTTCTCCCACACATGAATTTTGAAGATTCTAGACCAAATACTAGCCCCCGCCCAACAAACTTTCTATGACCAAAATTTGTAAACGGGTCAGATATCCATTATATCAAAATGCATTTTGCCTCACCGGCTAAAAATGTACTTCAAAAATAGTAGTATTGATAAGTAACCGCAATATTGTTTACTGCAGCTAGCTAGTGATGAATAGGATGATTTATGAAGAAAAGATGTGTTGTATATATCTCCAAAAAAACTATGGGTTCTAATTAATTAAAAGGAATGAAATTGTACATTATATCCTAATTTTAGAAAAATTGAACGATAAATTTGGAAAACAAAGAGCAACCCTTTAAACTTATCTTAAGACCGGCGCATATATACGAAAGTATTCCACACCATTAAATTAATTAGTAAACTCATTGCATATATAAACAAGATCCAGTTGTAAACAAAAGAACATAAACAGAAAATAAAAAAAAATTATAAAGAAGTTTTTTGTTAATATATAAATATAGTTAGATGGCTACATCGAAAGGATTTGCAGTAATTTTCGTCTTGACGCTTCTCATAACACTCCTGTTATTCGTTGGAGTCAACTCCACTGCTGATCCGTCGAAATGTAGGAATTTTGATCCTATCGGAGGATTTCCTCTAGATTGCAGTAAGAGATGATGAGGAATATATGAAGAATGGTGAACGAATAAAACGACCATGGATGCTATATATTAGCTAATACTACTAACTAGCTAGTGTAAAACCCATGCAGAAATGTTATTTGGTTATATAATTTTGATAACATACTAATTCATAAATAAATTACGTAGTCTAGTGGTTTGTGCTCTTGTGCCTGCATTATGCATGTTGTTAAACAATTTAATTTTACAACAAATAATCAATATACTTTTGAAGATAATAGTATTTTCATCATTTTTATATAAGTATTATTAATTATGGCAAAATTATGATAAGAATTTTCGTAGGAAAATTTCTGTTTGTACTAAATTAGATAATATATTATTGCAAATTCTATTAATAAAAATCATTATTCTTTAAGAAACAACATTCTTGGTATGTCTCTGCTCCCCTACTTCCAAAAAAACCCATTCTCCTCTGATTCCCAAATTTTCTTAATAAAGAAAGAAAAGCACATGATTATTTAAGAGATACATTTTGATTATGGGTTTTCAAATTACAATTTGTTTCTTACATAATAATAATAATTATGAGCTTCTCCTTCCACATACCTTTGTGTTTACACTTACACATGATTACACCAAAACATTACATTTTGCATAGCCGTTCACTTTTTTTTTTGGTTCACTTTTGGTGGGTTTCACTCGCATGCAAGTTTAGTGCCGAAACTTGTGAGACAGATAGCAAAAGCCTGAAATGCAGAGAGTGGCTGTCTATAATCCATAGTGAAAGTGTCATCTCCCACTTTACCAAACTGTAGAAGAACTGTTTCTTCATTGCCTTTACCGCTCGGTTGACTTTGGTCAACAGTCGCAACCAGCTGGAAGTTCTTGACCGAAGCAACGGTTACTCGTCCATGGAAGTTCAGACACCAGCACTGTAAGTGCTCATGCCATCTAGGAGCTTTGTTCTTTAGTATTGTGAAGCTGGAACCATCCTTGTTGGGTTTTTTCATTATCTTGGTTACATCCCATGGCTTTTGGTCGGACGAGAGTCCAGCGGATGATGATGATGGTGATGAGGATGGGCATCGGAGTGTGCTTACCATTCTTCTTGGACCTCTTGATTTCAAAAGGTTGAATTTATAAGAAACATGACCGACTTCAAAGTTGCCTGCTGGAACTTGAGGGCTTATCTGCTTTGACGCAAATCTGCGACTGGCTTTGCCATTTGAAGGTTTTGCTCCGTTATGTGGCGGTTGGCTATCATATACCGTAAAGTTCGTCCCAAGAAAATCTGATCTGCAGAAGTTTCCAAAAAATAAACAAGAACCTTAGTTTTCAAGCCACTCATCTTCTAAGCAAAAAAACACCAAACCCTTAAAGAGACTCAAGATTTCAATTCCAAGAGTGGCAATTCCAAATTTAAAACTTCTGAGAAGGCAATCCTGCTTTAGAGATTAAATGGCCGCTTAGGATATTCAGTGTTGCGCATATCTGTACCTTAATTTTCCAACGTAGGCATTGCTTCCTTGAGAGAAATCATCAGCATCAAGTGATATGATGTACTCAGTGTAAGCACCGGTCCTGAATCTCCGTGCCGCCAGAAGAAACTTTCCCTTATCAGTGAATGCTGGTGAACAGAAAATACAAACTAAATTAATAAATCCTGAAAATGATCCTTTTCTCAGCAAAGGAAAGATTTAGTTAACTTGTTCCAAAACAGTTTGCGCTTCTTAAATAACCCCACTTGTAAAAAAAATAAATCTAACCATAACTATTGATATATGTAACTGAAAATATCATTCAGTGATGTCAAGATACACACGAAAAATTGGTAAGAAAAGTATTAACAATGCCTTGCAAATTACTTCACTAGTCAACTCCTATAAAAGACTGAAGCTCGGAATTTTCTTCATCATCACAGAAGTCAACAAAAAGTCAACACTTTATTAATGGCAATTGGTTGGTAAGTTGTTTCAATGACAAGGCAAGGCATTATTTGGTAAAAGACTAAGACAAGTTTAAATTGCAAGCTTAGGAAGTCACTAAATTCAATCGTTTTCACACTTAAAAAGCCTACCTAAAACTTTCAAGCCATATACTTTTCCAATTTAGACTAAATCAACCATAAGAATGAAGCTAAAGGAAAAAGTATAACTTACATGGTGTTAGAGCAAGATACAAGTAAAAGGTTGATGTCTTCTTGTTCCTCTTTATCAAGCACTGATTAGAAAAGTCTCTAGGACCTGGCTGCATCTCAATAGACACTAACAAATCTCAAATCTCTTGCCATTTTTTTTTCAATTGCTCTTATAATAATACATTTTTTTACATCAAAAATGCAACAAAATTTATGGGAAAAAGGTGAATTTCAACCCGAACAAATTGCAAAATGCGTTTTTATACCTCAACAAAAACACAATGTCTTTTTCAACCTCGAACGCTAAAATAATTCAAATAAAATTCATATAGTAAGATTGATTTAGGTAATTCAACAGTGCCTCCTAATGTGAAAGAGACAACAAAATTCGCAGATTCACCCAAATCGATTTCCTAAATCACGATAAATTCAAAAGGCGTACCAATTTGAGGCAAGAAGGGAAAGTAATTTTGCCAGAGTTAAGAGAGGAGGATCTAGCAAAATCCTGAGTAATTTCTCTCCATTTCTTCGAGACGCAAGCGCAAGTGACTACATCACGACGTTGAGGCCAACTGTCTTCAGTCTCCTCCACGCGACGAATGATCTCGCCTAATAACTCAGGGAGCATCGCCGACCATGACGAACCGGCCATATTCGACGGCGGAGGAATCGATTCGTAAGAATCGGATTCCGGTGCCGTCGTCTCTCCCTGATGATGAAACCTAAACGAGTTTGAGATCCTCCGCGAAAGAAGGGACCGTGACAAAGGCATTTGTGAAGAGAGAGATGTTTCGATCTGGAAATAGAGAGAGAGAGAGAAGGAGGAGAGAGAAAGTAGAGAGAGAAAGGATGAGATTTGCTTTCTGGGGAAGATAATTACAATACCAACGTGCGAAATCTAGAAGGGAGTGATATTTTGGGTAAAAGTGACGGGGCTGTGAGATATGAATAGGTGACAGATGTTTTTAATTGTGACACGTCTCTCTACTTATATAAGTGGTGGAAAAAAGTGAGAAATCTAATTTATATGACACATAAGTAGCACAATAAACCGGATATGACGACTAAACCGGATACACGATGTTCTTTCATAGCATTATCACATCTCAAAGAGTAATCTTCAAGTCACAAGCTTCAATATTTACCTTCTTTAACACTAGATAAAATTTCATTGGTTCTACGGAGATTGAGGTTAGTAGATGAAGATTTCGATATTTGTTATAGTAGTCTTTGTGAGAAAATCTTTAAGATTAGGCCTTGAAATTTTTAGTTTTTGTTTTTCAAAAACTCATTTCACACTAATCAATCAAGTTTTTCAAATTTTGGTTTCCCTACAATTTATGAATTTTTTTTTTTGTTGAGATCACCCATTCAAGATTTTAGATTTTTAATTCTCCTACCATTTAGGGAATCTAGTTTTTATTCCGTTATTTTACTCAAAAACAAAAAAAAAAACTATTTTTTGGGGATTTCTAAAGCAAAACTCTAATCACCAAATCTAAAACTAAAATCTAAAATCCAAAAACTAAAAACAAAATCCAGAAACCAAATTAAAAAACAGCATCCATTCATGGCCTTAATATTGAAATAAATTTACTTGTTTAACTTAGGTTTAGTAATTTATTTTGTCACTTTTTGGGCGTGTGTAGTTATCATAACTTAGAGATATGTTATAACATTTGTATTTTACAAAAACGTTAATAATGGTCCGTGGCTCCGTGCACGTCTGTTTTTTACCTTTTTAGAAAAAGATAGATTTTTCAAAAAAAATTATTAGAAAAATTTAATGCCATAATTTGTCATATCTAACAATAACATATTGTATAGATATCCTTATGAAAATGTACGTGGTATAAAAAATCTAAGAATAAATAGGTCTAGTTTACACTTTCCACATGTTTTGGAAAGAAAAAAACAGGCAAAATCAAGTTAAGACTGATTAAATATGATTAAACGCCAAACTAATTAAAAACGAATAACAAGTATCAGATTATTGCCAAAGAGAAAAAAGAGTTAAGACAGAAACAAAATAACTCAAATACAAACAAATGGGCACGGGCTTTTGGTCTGGGGATAGTTAGAGCTAGCCCAACACCACCGGTTTTTGATAATGAGTTTCCGGCGCCTGAACTATCGCAGCTGCTATTATCTTCGCATCCCACTCTTGCATTGATGTGTGGAAGGTCTCTCCCATCGTCTTGAATTTGTCGTCCATAAGAAGATTTCAACCCTCTCAGGTAAGTAAACCTTTTAGTTCAAATTTTTCTATAATCGTTGAAATAGATATTCATTACTTGATTAGTATTGTTAGGAACAATTGGATGTGAGAGTATTGATGAGGCCTATTGATTTTATTGGATGTTTTATGGTCTATTTCATTGGCCATGATTTATGCTTTTAAGTCATGGTTTGATCCTTCTGGTTGTTGCATCAGCTTATGTGCCTTGATTTAATCTTTTTTCTTGAATCTATTGTTTGGATACTTGAATATACTCGTTGATGCATAGTCTAAGATTTGAACCCATGACTTGAATTCTTTTCGTTGTTGCATGATCTATATATGCTTTGAATTTGAAGCTTTTGCTTGAATTTGGTAATTTTTACATGATTTTTACCTACTTGAATATGTGCACTGTCAACTGTGTGGTGTAATGCTTTGTGTGGTCTGTGCTTTGAAGCTATGACTTGACTCGGTTGGTTTTGTTGTGTAGTCTTTGCATAATTTAATTTGTTGGTAATTGCGTGGTTTTTTTTTTCTTACCTGAATGTGTGTTGTGTGGTCTTAACGCTAACTTGAATATATTGGTTATATGTGTGGTCTATGACTTGATTCGGTTGGTTTGTTGTGCTTACCTGATTGTGTGATGTGTGGTCTAATTGCTAACTTGAATATATGGTTGTTTGCGTTCAAAAACTATGCTATTGAGTATTGATTGTCCTAGGGAGAGTTTCTTACTTGCTTAGTGTGCTTAGTAGTGGTTTGATGTGTGATCGTTTTTTTGTAGGAGTCTCTAATAAGTGAGAGAACAAATCCTTGTTCCTCAATTACAATAATCTTCATTGATCATTTTGTTTCGCCATCTCATATTATTAACCAAATTTATTTTATTTTTTTTGAAGAAAAATATTATTAACCAAATTAAAGACGAACAAAAACAAATACAAAAAATAAACCAAACAAGACTCAAAAGAAGCCCAATAAAATAAACCGATCGAGAAGAAAACAAGTTCTCAAGTAGGACTGCAAGAAAGATCTTCATCTTCGACTTATCAAAGTAAAAAAGGCTCCGACGGAAACCTTGTTGGCCATGAAATCTAAAACTCAAACAAGCTCCATTGACGCAGATGAGAAAAACAATCGCCATGAGCTCCAACTTCTTCAAAGTCAGACCAAAGGCAACAAGAGATACATCAAAGGAACAAGAGGAAGCAATCCAAAGCCACTTCAAATGATACTTCTTTTCTTTGAATTTTTGACTATAAAGATTTTAAAGTCATCTATCTTGTGGTGGAAAATTCAGTCACAATGGGCACTGATGGAAATTTGTTTATTTCATTAACATTGCCGTTGCCATTGTCCCAAAACAATTGAAGGACATGTCACAAGATTACAAGAAACTATCAGCTTTCCTTTTTGTTTATTACATCTCTCAACCTTCATAGTTCCATAGCTCATAGAGTGAAATATCTACCGGGTCGGTCCCTCACACTCGTTGCCACACCTCGATGTGTTAATGGAACCCCCAACTCTGCTGCTATCCCCGACGCTGCAGTAATCCTTGCAATCATAATCACAAATTTCTAGTAAGGCAAGATAAAGTTTCACCATAATATAATTAACAGCATTAAAGAACGAAACATCCACATTCATCAGATAACAAGAATGATGAATAACAAACAAACATTACCAGGGATAACTTGAACTCGAATTCCTTTGTTGTTGTAGAGAGTCCATTTCTTCCCCGCCCCGTCCAAAGAGAAGTTGCAAACACTTTTAAAAGGGAGCCGAAAATGATGATACTTAACCCAGATAAGAGATGGTGAGAGTTAAGAGTGTAGTGTATAAAACAAACCATTATATAAAGTAGGCCAAACAAATTGTGGAAATCAAACTTGTAAAAGTTATATGAAATAATAAAAAAAAAAAGCAATAAATGAAATTGTAAAAGTTCTTCTTGTTGTGCACTGGCTTCAGCGAAAGTCTCTCAAGGAATGGTGATCAAACTGGGAACAAAGACAGAGGATTCAAACTTGCATACCACTTCATCTATCTTAATCTTTTTGTACAGATCTCCCCTCACAATATAAACCCAAGCTTGTTTAGGTTTCTTGGTAGGACAACATAGAACGAAGCTCTTCCCATAGATATTATCATCGACGAAGTAACTTGTAGAATAGTGATTAAGTACCAAGGGGAAGTTAGGTATTGAGACAGTCATGAACTTAATCCACACGACATCGTCTCCATCATCCCCATTACCAATTTTATTCTTTGTCACCCAAATCTCAATCTCCCTTGTTCTTTTGCATTGTTCCATCACTGAAAACCGATCTCCCTTGTAAATAGAGAGGATACGAGTATGTGTAGAACTTTTTTTCGCCTTACACGGTAGAATACAAAACATCTTTAATGTCTCTTTCGAAAAATCGAGCATTCGGATAAAATACTGACCAGTTTCGCGATAGTTATAAGCTGTCCAGTACAAATTTCCATTCAGGGAAACCCTAGAATTACCAGACGATTCGTCCGTTATTAACCTTTCGTGAAAACTTGTATGATCAGTAACCTTCCACGCATTTGTTGCAAAATCGAAGACCGAAAAACGCCTAACAACTTTATTGAGCGAATAAGTAGTCAGAATCCCAATAATCTTGTAAATCTTTTCGGTTCTACTTCCATCATAACCCATGCTCTTGTCGTCCCATGTAACACCATCCTCGGCAAACCATTTGGTATGTCTCAACAACGGGTTCGAAATCACGCATCCGCCTCCGCTAAGAAAGTCATATATGAAGAAGTAACCATCGCATGTCCCATAGAGATTATAACTGCGACGGCGTAAGTCAAAGCATAAATCACTCACTTTTATACTTGGATCGTCATTGAGATTGACGCTTATCGAATAGATATGGGATTGTGTCTTTAACATGAATTCTGAGCGACCGCAAGCAAAGTTTCTGTTGACGAATCTCTTAGTGTTGAAAAGAGTTTTCCATTGTTTGCAAACGGATCTGAAGCCATAAAAAAATCTAAACAAAAAACTTTTGGGGTCAAAATCATCTCTCAGCTGGTGGATCACTTCTCATGGTTCTGTGTATAAGACCGTTTCTACCGTTTGATAGGAGCCAATCCATTTAGTGGCAGTGTTTTACTAATCCTACATAGTAATCCTTGCAGTTTTTAGAGCGTTCATGGATCATAGTTAGAGATGCACCAGACAAGCCCTATTGATATTGTTGTGTTATTTTGGGAAAAAAACTTTAGGTAATAAACGGCCAAACAAAAAATAAATGGCGGTTTATTCGGGTTTTTTCCCGTTATATTTGTATTTGAGGTTTTTTAGACCATGCCCAGCGGTGATTTATTGTGGGTATCATAAGCCCAAAAAATATTAATTAATAGACCAAACAACTTTTTTGGGCCTGAGCCGTATCAGTAGACTGATACTTCTGATACTGGGTATCAGTCGACGTGGCACGTGCTGATTGGTGCTGCAAACGCGTTTTTGGCTAAAGGCAGAGAAAAAAAAATTTCTCACCTCTCTCTCCCGAGAAAACCTAGAACTCCTCCTCCTCCGCCGATTTCGAGTTTCCCTCTCCTCCGCCGATTCGTCTTCACGATCTTGCTTTCGGTACCTACTCTTCTCTTCCGGCCGTCTAGGGTTTCTCTCAGAGTGTCATCATAAAAAAAACAGATTCTTGTCTCCGATCCTCGTCGCTCTCCAGTCATCTGAAGATTCTTCGAGCTTCTCTTGACCACACACTTTCAATGGCGAAAGCAGTGACCGCTCCAACTCCGTCTCTCTCCGAGGTTATTCTTCATCTTATACATCATTTCTCATTTTGCTCTCTCGGTTTTCATCCGATCTTCGTTCGATCTACTGAAAAATGAGCTGATTCTCTTTGAAATTGATTGTGAGACTTTCTTTTGTAAGATCTGCTTCAATTCGATTATGATTAATCCTTTTAGAAGGAGCTAAATTAGATTCCTTTATCTCTTCAACACATATTAGGGCTTTAAATTTCTTGATTGATTTGAACAAGTCAACAAAGATTGGATCTTTCCTCAGTTTTTAGATTATTTTCTGATATTTGCGTTGAAAAATTCAAACTTGTTTCTTTATAGGTTACATTAAAGGATTGTGGTACCGGCTCCTGTTTCATCATACAGTTCTGGGTTTCAGGCGCCTTTTCTTCCGCAAAAGAATCAAGGCAAGAAGAAGTTTCCACAGATTGGTCATGTTTATGAGATTCTTGTGAGTTCTTGTGTTTGTTGGTTATGTTTCTTGAATGTTCTTGGTTTTTATAGGTTATAGGTGCTCTTTCTCATACTGGTTTGGAGTCATCGAATTTGATTGTTGGTATTGATGTCACTAAGAGCAATGGTTGCTTCTGTCACAAGGCCAACTTCTTTTGCACCCATTATTGAAAGGACGATGACAATTGTGGAAGAAAGTGGAGGGCAATACCATGTTCTTCTCATAATTGTTGATGGACAGGTAAACTAAGATTTTGGTTTACAGGATCAATATTTTGATCACAGGATCATTATTTTGACCTTTATAAATATTGTTTTGCAGCTGTGGAGTCACTCAAGGATGGTGAGAATTGTCAGATCCTGAAACGATGAGAAGCTGCAAAGGTGAAAGGTAAAACTTATCAGTTTCCAGTTTCTGTGTGTTAAAGCTGCATCCGATCTGAATAGAGATTAGGAACAATGAATTGAAACTTAAATGAATTCAATTGATTTGAATTGATATTTTGAACAATTGAATTGACTAGAAACTGATAAGTTGAATTTAATAGTGATTAGGTAGATATTGTTGAGAGTGAATTTAATGTCATCTGTATAAGAATATTTTCTCTGTGTATAGAGTCTTTTTAATGATCTAGATATTGTTGGTGATGAGGTTGTATTAAATGCAAGTCTGAACTTAAAATTAAAGGGAATTAAAATGATGATGAGACATTAGCTTTTTTAACTGAAGTTATGAGATGGGAAGTGTCTCAGTGAGTTGAATTAGTAAACCAAACACTTAAACTGAACTATAATGACTCGTATTCAATACAAATTTGGTTGATCTTGTCATGAGTGTTTGTCTTTATAATAAGTTTCTGAGAACTTAAACAAACCATTAAACTGAACTAAAACACAAAATGGCTTCCAACTTGAACTTTTCCTCCTCTCAATCCTTTACCAATCTCTTGTTTAGCCAAGAAGAAAACCCAACCCCTCTCAGTCCTTCACAGCCTCCTCCTCTCAGTCCTTCACAACCTCTTTGTTCTGAATCCCAAACACCCACAGCAGTAGCTAGGGAACCTAGAGTGAGATGGAGTGTTCCTGAAGAGAAGGCACTTGCAAGTGCCTGGCTCAACACATCCAAAGACTCTGTTGTAGGGAATGAGCAGAGATCTGCTGCCTTTTGGGATAGGGTTGCAGTATATTATGCTGCATGTCCTGCTGTCTCTAAGCTCACCATCCGAGAGGCCAACACTTGCAAGCAGAAATGGCAAAAAATGAATGAGCTTGTCATGAAGTTTGCAGGCTGTTATGAGTTTGCCTCTCGGACTCCTCGCAGTGGAGAGACTGAAGATGACGTTCTTGTGCTTGCCTACAAGCTGTACCACCAGGATCAAAAAACCAAGTTCAGTCTTGAGCATGTATGGAGAATCCTCAAGACTGATCAGAAATGGTGCAATTGGTGTGAGACAAAACTGCCTGTTAAGAAGAAAGCTAAACTTTCTGAAGTAGAAGAAGATAGTCTTAAAAGGCCAATAGGGGTCAAGGCAGCCAAGGCTTTAGCCAAGTCCAAAGGAAAGGGAAAGATTGAAGGAGCTGACGCTGGTTCTGCTGCTGAACTTCAGCTTTTGTGGGAAGTGAAAGAGAAAGATTTGGCTTTCAAAGAGAGACTCTCCAAGCAGAAGCTACTTGACAGCCTTCTTGGAAGGTCTGATGGATTGAGTGAGATGGAAATTGAACTTAAGAACACTCTTATCAAAGAGTATCTGTCTGGAAGCAATGTGTTTGTTTCTGAGAATGAATATTCTGGTCTTTAGGTATGTGTTGTTAGTTAAGTTGTTTTGTTTACTTAATATGTCGTATGATTTGATTTTCTTTTGCTTAATTATGTGCAGGCCCTCCTCTTGGAAGCTAGTGATGTCGGCAAGGAATGGATTGAGTGGTTCTTTTGCTTTATTGTAGTGTACTGTGACTGTTTTTACTCGGATGTACTTTGTAAGCAGAAGCCACTTGTTTTTTGTTTTGGTATGGCACAATGTATGGTCGCAAGTGGTTGTTTTTCTATGGTCAGAACCTAGTTGTTTTTATTTTGTATTGTATGAATGAATGTATTATTGTCGACAATGTATGGTCGGCAATGTTTTACTTTATATTGTATGATGCACAATGTATGATTTTATATTCTCTTATATATATGTCTTTGTGTTCTCATATTTCTCAATACAACTCTCATAACGATTCTTCCTCTTTCTCATATTCCTCTAAAAACAAGTCTTTCTTCTATTTCTCTAAAAACAAGTCTCTTTTATTTGTTTGCTTTCTCTAAAAATATTTCTTTGTTTTCTTTCTCTATAAACAAGTCTCTTTTATTTGTTTTCCTTCTCTAAAACCAATTCTCTTTCAATTGTTTTCCTTTTCAAAACACAAATCTCTTTTTAGTTTTTTTGTACGTTTTGCTTCTTAAAAAGTAATGGCATCACATTCTCATGATCATGACTCTTTTGATGATATTATAGAGGAAAGGATTGAAAATTGTTTTGAAGATGGTTTAGATAATTACAGTAGACGTATAGCGGGAAAAAAAAAGAAAAAAAGGGCTGCTAATATAGAGAGAGATCGGGAAGAAGGAAATATTCGATTATGGAACGATTACTTTTCGGATGACCCCGTTTACCATGATCGCATGTTCCGACGGCGATTTCGAATGACCAAGCCGTTGTTCGTTCGTATTGTTCAAAGTCTTTCTCAATTTCCATATTTCCAACAAAGGGACGATGCTACTGGGAAGCAAGGACTATCTGCCCTACAGAAATGTACTGCCGCAATTAGGCGTCTGGCATATGGTCTTGCAAACGATGCGATGGACGAATACCTCCGCATGGGCGCAACCACTGTGAGCCAAGCACTAGAGAATTTTGTAGATGGCATAATAAATTTATTCCAAGACGAATATTTGAGGCGGCCTACACGTGAGGATCTAGAACGGTTACTTCATTCTGGAAAGGAACGCGGATTTCCGGGAATGGTAGGAAGCATTGACTGTATGCATTGGGAGTGGAAGAATTGTCCTACGGCTTGGAAAGGACAATATTCACGCGGACATGGAAAACCCACTATTGTTTTAGAGGCCGTGGCATCACAAGATTTATGGATTTGGCATGCTTTTTTTGGGGCTCCAGGTACGTGTAATGATATAAATGTTCTTGACCGCTCACCGGTGTTTGATGATATATTAGAAGGTCGAGCTCCACAACTCAGGTACGAAGTCAATGGACATCAATACAAAATGGGTTATTACCTCACAGATGGTATATATCCGAAGTGGGCAACATTCATCCAATCAATTACCCGCCCACAAGGACCGAAAGCATCATTATTTGCTAGTTGTCAAGAAGCAGTGAGAAAAGATGTCGAGCGTGCTTTTGGAGTCTTGCAGGCTCGGTTTGCTATTATTCGAAACCCAGGTCTGTTTTGGGATAAAGAGCGAATGGGCAAGATAATGAGAGCATGTATCATATTGCACAATATGATTGTAGAAGATGAACGAGACGAAGATACTCAGTTCGATTTATCTGATTTCGTAGAAGGCGAAGGAAGCGGGACTTCTCAAGTAGACAACTCTTTTTCTACAGAGACAGCTACAAATGTGAACAATTTGATGGCCAATCGAGCTCAAATACGTCATGAACAAACACATCGACAATTGAAAGAAGATTTGATTGAACATATTTGGCAAAAATGGGGCCAAGGTAATTGACTACAAGCGACTAAATTATTTTTATCATCATGTTTTTTTTCACTTTTTTTGAATTTTATGTTTTATTTTGCTTTATATTCTACGTTTTTTTTTTTATTGTAATATTACATTTTGTAATCCTATGTTTTAATATATTAATTTTTGATTTTGCAATTTTTTTTTTTATGATACTTAAACCGGTCTCACCTATGCAAACATATTTAGTAGGAGTATCATAAAAAATCTCAAACAATAAACAAACATTATAAATAATACTAAAAAATTCCTAATGATACTAAATGGGTATCACCCATGTACATGCTCTTAGGCTTAAATAAGGTACTTTATTTGCACAAAAAAAAATAATAAGGTACTTTATAGACTTTAGACCCATTTCGCCGTGAAACCAATGTCCGCCGTGAAATCTGTCTCTTCCTTCAGGCTCGCTTCTCTCCTCCGACGTGAGAATGATCCTTCCGCCGCAATTAAGCTTTTCCGGAACCCTGATCCAGAATCAACGAACCCGAAACGACCCTTTAGATACTCGCTTCTTTGCTACGATATCATCATCACGAAACTTGGTGGCTCCAAGATGTTTGACGAGCTAGATCAGGTACTTCTCCAGCTCAAGACCGATACTCGGATCGTTCCTACAGAGATTCTGTTCTGCAATGTAATCAATTTCTTCGGCCGTGGAAGATTACCTAGTCGTGCACTCCACATGTTCGACGAAATGCCTCAATACCGTTGCCAACGCACTGTGAAATCCCTGAACTCTCTCTTGAACACACTTCTTAAGTGCGGTGAGTTTGAGAAAATGAAGGAACGTCTTTCGAGTATTGATGAGTTTGGTAAGCCTGACGCTTGTACTTACAATATACTGATCCATGGATGTTCTCAGAGAGGGTGTTTCGATGATGCTTTGAAGCTATTCGATGAAATGGTCAAGAAAAAAGTGAAGCCCACTGGAGTTACCTTTGGGACGTTGATTCACGGGTTGTGCAAGAATTTGAGGGTGAAAGAAGCATTGAAGATGAAGCAAGATATGTTGAAAGTGTATGGAGTACGTCCCACGGTTCACATTTATGCGTCATTGGTCAAAGCGCTTTGTCAAATTGGTGAATTGAGTTTTGCGTTTAAGCTTAAGGATGAGGCGTACGAAGGAAAGATTAAAGTAGACTCAGCTATATACTCTACATTGATTAGCTCGCTTATAAAAGCTGGAAGATCAAACGAGGTATCGAGGATCTTGGAAGAAATGAGTGAAAAAGGATGCAAACCCGACACAGTGACTTACAATGTACTGATTAACGGGTTCTGTGTTGAGAATGATTCGGAATCAGCTTATCGAGTCTTGGATGAAATGGTTGAAAAGGGCTTGAAACCAGATGTTATAAGCTACAACATGATACTTGGTGTCTTGTTTAGAATCCAAAAATGGGAAGAAGCAACTTACTTGTTTGAAGATATGCCCAGAAGAGGTTGCAGCCCTGATACCTTATCTTATAGAATAGTTTTCGATGGGCTTTGCGAAGGTTTACAATTTGAAGAAGCTGCGGCTATCTTGGACGAAATGCTTTTCAAAGGTTATAAGCCTCGCAGGGACAGGCTAGAGAGATTTCTGCAAAAGCTATGTGAAAGTGGAAAGTTGGAGATTCTAAGTAAAGTTATCAGTAGTATGCATAGAGGGAATGCTGATGATGCAAAGGTATGGTCGGTTATGATACCTACAACAATGTGCAAAGAACCCGTGATATCGGCGTCTCTTGATTTGTTGTTGAACACAGAAAAGGAAGATGGTCCTTTATCAGCAATGCTGCCGTGCTAGGTCACCTGTCGTGCAAGTTAATGTTGCTGTGAACCTTGTTCTGGTTCTGGTAATACAGGGCAAGGAACAAAATAGAAGAGAGATTTGCAAAGCTCTCTGGTAATACAGGTGAATAGTTACCACATGGGCTCTCTTCAGTTTAGATAATGGAAGAATGTGCTTAGTGCTCCTATTCAAAGCTCTTACCTCTTGTCCATAGCTTGTAACGTGGTGGTACAGAGGAATGATCTCATCGCTGAACCAAGCTCTGTTATTGAGGTATGAGTTTCCTTCTTGGAGTTGATTTAAAAGATAACTTCTTAATATCATGATTGTTTGATATTTACTTAACTTTGGATTAACTAAAGTACGCTTCTAATTCTAATCCTAATAGAAGATAGATAATGACTAAATATATAAGGTCGCATTTTTTTTTTTTTTTTTTTTGAATAACCGCGGGTCTCCCAAAGGCTTCCTAGGCCCAAGGACTAATCCCACGAGGCTGGCAATTCCCCTATGTAAACCTGCCAGTGGCCGTGCCTCGAACCCTGGTGGCGGAAGTCACAGCTGTGACCCCTTTACCACTAGGCCACAAGGCCCGGTTTATAAGGTCGCATTGGTTAAGGAAGAAAATGTGATTTTGGAAATTTATACTATTTTGGTTTCTTATGGATACATACAGTGATTGTTGTGTTTATGCGTTGGCTTTGGTAGTGGAGAGCTGCTGTTGTGGTGGCTTTGATCATGTATACAGTGACGGTGGTGTCGGCAAGGGTTAAAGGTGGTGATGGCGGCATCAGTGGTACAACGACTTCAATTCGTTTGACGAAAATGTTTCCGTCTTCCTTACTTTGTTTTGGCTAAAAACTTGACCAGAGAGAAATCCATTGATTGAAACTGATCCATACGTCTTCAATCAGAACCTCCACCAGAGGAATTCATAATCGATATGGTCAACCTGCAAAACTCAATTCATAATTTGGTTTATTTACGTACATATAAATGACTTCATAGTCTATGTTATTTCTCGCTGTATTTGGGGTTTGTTAGAGATAGAAAATTTCCAAACGTTACTAAAAGTTTGTACAAAAAAATATAGCCGTTTGATATTTGCGACCATAAGTTTAAAATCAAAACATGAATGTAACTAAGGGTATTTCCGTCATTTACACTTCCGAGAACCCTAGATTTGATTCCAGGTTGTTTTTTTTTTTTTCGGTTCACAATTGTTCTTTCGTTAGTTTCAAAAAGTCTTTAGCTTTTTTTTCTTCTTCGGCTAATCCAAAATTCATCAATTCCGATTCACACTCTCTGTAAGTTTAGTTCTTTTTTTTGCCAACTGTTTGATTTATGAATTGCTTCTGCAAATAATTGGCAATAAGAAATGTTATCACTTTATCTTCCCAATTTGTTCTTGTGAAGTTACTACATTAATAAACTTCAGTTTCTTGTTTTACCTCATCTCGGAATCAGCTCTTTGACATAAGTGTAGAGCTCTCTGTATAAAAAGTTTTGATCTTTTTTTTTGGTTTTCAGGAATGTATCTTGGAGTGAAGAAGATGGTGCAGAAGAAGTTGGCTGTTCTTTACCATTATCCTTGCCATGACGGTGTTTTCGCCGCTTTAGCTGCTCATCTCTACTTCTCAGCAAAGTCAATCCCTTCATTGTTCTTCCCCAACACAGTCTATTCTCCAATCACAATCAACCAACTTCCACTTCAAGAAATCAGTCATCTTTATCTTCTTGATTTCACTGGACCTCCTGGTTTTGTTTACCAAGTCTCTCCTAAAGTCGACAATGTGGTGATCCTCGATCATCATAAAACCGCTATTGAGAGTCTAGGTGATGTCTCTTTGACTTGCAAGAACGTTACTAGTCTTTTGGATATAGAGAGAAGTGGTGCGACTATTGCGTTTGATTATTTTACTCAGAAGTTGGTTGAAGAATGTAGAGGAAGTTGCAAGGAGATGGATGATTTTAAGAGAATGAGACGTGTTTTCGAGTATATTGAAGATGCGGATATATGGAAGTGGGAGTTACCAGAGAGTAAAGCATTTAACAGTGGAATCTTGGACTTGAAGATTGAATACGACTTTAATCAGAATCAATCATTGTTTGATCAGCTACTCTCTTTGGATCATGAAAGTGTGATCAACAGAGGAAAACAGAGTTTGTCTAAGAAACATAAACGGATTCACGAGGCGTTGGAACAGTCTTATGAGATTGTTCTTGGAGGTGACGAAGAGTTTGGACGGTGTTTAGCTGTAAATGCAGATGAGATTGCAGAGCTTAGAAGCGAATTAGGTAATCAATTGGCTGCAAAGAGCAAGAATCTGAATTTACGAGGTGTTGGAGCTGTTGTTTACAGAGTTCCTGAGCTTGGGGATGAAAACAAACTGAAAATAAGTTTGAGGAGTGTTGCAGAAGAAGATACAACACCGGTTTCTCAGAGATTCGGAGGTGGTGGTCATAAAAACGCAAGCTCCTTCTTGTTAAACTCCATGGAGTTCGAACAATGGAAGGTGAATAGAAACTCTTCTAATACATTAAACTAGTGATGTTGTATGAAACAGCTATTTAGCTCTCTGTATGGAATGGTTATTTGAACCCGTTTGGTTTACGGCATTGCCAATTTTCGGTAGTTTAAAACCGGGGTTTGGTTTGTTTTTCTACTTTTCGGTTCATCCGGATTCAGGTTACAATTTTTGGATTTCTAAGAAGTATAAGTAATTGTAAACAAGTTAACATTTTTTTGGTTTGGATTGCAACTGCCATATAACTAGTTGATACAGAGCAGTAGGAAGTATAATTAACTGATACAGAACATGCCAATGAAACCAATTGAAGTTGTGATGAAGCCATTGCGTGCAGCCTGCAGGACTAATGGGAACATCACCAAGTTGAAAGTTCCACAAGACAGTACAAGTCAGATTGGCAAATTAGCTCCATGGATTTCATACTGAACATGTGTTCTTCATTCAGGGTAAATTTCTTACACATTAAACTTTGACTATGAAAACTCAATTATTTAGATCAGCAAATTGATACTTTGCATGTATTAATTCAAGAAAGTAATGGGGACCTCAAAGGAACTTTAGTGTCATGATGCTGAGTTTCAAGAATAAGTTTTAATAAAATATCTCTTAGCTGATGAGAATGAAGAATCACAGGTGGCAAAATCGATCATTAGTCATAACATATTACTGTGGAGAACCCTCAGCCAATGGATTGGTAGTTGGATAAGGTTGACTTTGACTTTGAAAAAATTGATCTCTCTTCTTCCAAAGAAGGCCGCAACCAGTGGTCAATCTTGTTATTGTATTAGTTTCATATATATATATTTTCTTTCTACTTGTTTTGCTTTGATCCGTCTTTTGTACTTTGTTGTAGTATGGCTGTGGCAGTTGTGTCGTTTGGAGTTGAGAAGCTTTGGGAGCTTCTCAGTCGAGAATCTGCGCGATTGAATGGAATAGATGAGCAAGTTGATGGACTAAAGCGTCAGCTGGGAAGGTTACAGTCGTTATTAAAAGATGCAGATGCTAAGAAAAATGAAACAGAAAGGGTGAGAAACTTCTTGGAAGATGTCAAGGACATTGTTTATGATGCTGATGATATAATAGAATCGTTTCTTCTGAACGAACTTAGAGGAAAAGAAAAAGGTATCAAGAAGCAGGTGAGAAGACTTGCTTGCTTTTTAGTAGATCGCCGGAAATTTGCTTATGATATCGAAGGTATAACTAAGAGGATCTCTGAGGTGATTGTGGAAATGCAGAGTTTAGGGATACAACATATTAACGATGGTGGTGGACGTTCACTCTCTCTTCAAGAAAGACAAAGGGAGATCCGACAAACATTTTCTAAAAACTCTGAAAGTGATCTTGTGGGGTTGGATCAGAGTGTTGAAGAATTGGTTGATCATTTGGTGGAGAATGATAACATTCAAATGGTTTCTGTATCTGGTATGGGCGGTATTGGTAAAACCACACTCGCTAGACAAGTTTTTCATCATGACATTGTCCGACGCCATTTTGATGGATTCTCATGGGTTTGTGTTTCGCAACAGTTTACGCGAAAAGATGTTTGGCAGAGGATCTTGCAAGATCTTAGACCATATGATGAGGATATTGTACAGATGGACGAATATACACTCCAAGGTGAACTCTTTGAATTGTTGGAAACTGGTAGATTTCTGCTTGTCCTCGATGATGTATGGAAAGAAGAAGACTGGGACCGAATAAAAGCGGTGTTTCCACATAAAAGAGGTGAGCTCTAATTGTACATACATAAAGCACTTAACTTATACGTGATTATAAAAAGAGAGAGATGAAAGCAAGTTCGACACACATTAGTGATAGATGCCTTATATTCACTATCATGAAAAAACGAGATGTTTTTTGCAGGTTGGAAAATGTTAATTACTTCCCGCAACGAAGGTCTTGGTTTACATGCGGATCCAACATGTTTTGCCTTTAGACCAAGAAGCCTTACTCCCGAAGAAAGTTGGAAGCTATTTGAGAGGATAGTAAGCTCTAGGAGAGACGAAACTGGTACGCTCTCATACATAAACTAAGAGCAAGAATCTTATATTTTCTGTTATGAATCCTTAAGGCCAAGAAGTTTAATTTCTCTTTCGCTTTTAGATGTTTATATTTATTCAATGCTCAAATCTTAAAATATATTATCTTGTGATGGTTTGCAGAATTCAGGGTTGATGAAGCCATGGGAAAAGAAATGGTCACATATTGTGGAGGACTACCGTTAGCCGTTAAAGTGTTGGGAGGGTTGTTAGCTAAGAAACATACAGTTCTCGAGTGGAAAAGAGTATATAGCAATATTGGAACTCAGATCGTAGGAAAATCTGGGGTAAATGACGACAATCCCAATTCGGTTTACCGAGTATTGTCTCTAAGTTATGAAGATCTGCCTATGCAGTTAAAGCATTGCTTCCTTTACATGGCCCATTTTCCTGAAGATTATAAGATAGAAGTAAAGACATTGTTCAATTACTGGGTTGCGGAAGGAATAATAACGTCATTTGATGATGGATCAACCATTCAAGATAGTGGAGAAAACTACCTAGATGAGCTAGTGAGGAGAAATATGGTTATTGTTGAAGAAAGCTATTTGACTTCCAGAATAGAGTATTGTCAAATGCATGACATGATGAGAGAAGTATGTTTATCTAAAGCCAAAGAAGAGAACTTTCTTCGAATTGTCAAAGTCCCTACAGCTACCTTGAATACCATCAATGCTCAATCTCCTTGTACATCTCGCAGATTTGCTCTACATAGTGGTAATGCACTTCATATGCTGGGACATAAAGACAATAAAAAAGCCAGATCTGTTTTGATTTTTGGAGTTGAGGAAAATTTTTGGAAGCCTCAAGATTTCCGATGTTTGCCATTGCTTAGAGTGTTAGATCTTTCTTACGTACAGTTTGAAGAAGGGAAGTTACCATCCAGCATTGGAGATCTCATTCACTTGAGATTCTTGAGCTTATACGAGGCTGGGGTATCTCATATACCTTCTTCTCTTCGAAATCTAAAGCTTCTGCTCTGTTTGAACTTAGGTGTTGCTGATCGGTTACTAGTTCATGTGCCAAATGTTTTGAAAGAGATGAAAGAACTGAGATACCTTCGCTTACCTCGTTCAATGTCTGCTAAAACCAAGTTGGAATTACGCGATCTAGTGAACTTGGAGTCGTTGACGAATTTCTCAACGAAACACGGCAGTGTGACGGACCTCCTCCGTATGACTAAGCTCATGGTTCTCAATGTGATTTTCAGTGGCGGATGTAGTTTTGAAAGTCTATTGTCATCTCTTGGTGAATTGAGAAATCTGGAGACGCTTAGTTTTTATGATTTCCAAAAAGTTAGTGTGGCTGATCATGGCGGAGGACTCGTTCTTGACTTTATTCATCTAAAGGATTTAACCTTGTCAATGCATATGCCAAGGTTTCCAGATCAATACCGATTCCCTCCCCATCTTGCGCACATATGGCTAATCGGATGCCGCATGGAGGAAGATCCGATGCCGATTCTAGAAAAGTTGCTTCATTTGAAATCGGTTTATCTTTCATCTGGTGCATTCTTGGGAAGTAGAATGGTGTGCTCGAAAGGCGGATTTCCTCAACTACTTGCTCTAAAAATGTCGTATAAAAAAGAGTTGGTAGAGTGGAGAGTAGAAGAAGGGTCGATGCCATGTCTTCGTACTTTGACGGTAGATAATTGCAAAAAGCTGAAGCAACTTCCGGATGGGCTCGAATACGTAGCTTCCTTAAAAGAACTGAAGATAGAAAGAATGAAGAGAGAGTGGACTGAGAGACTGGTACTAGGTGGGGAAGATTACTACAAAGTTCAACACATTCCCAGTGTACAATTTATCAACTGTGACCACTAAATGAGCACTAATTGCAGGTGAAACTTGTTTCTGTTTATGTCCAATAAAAACTGACGTTTTGTTCTTCTTAGTTCTTACCTTGATTTGGTTTTGTAAAAGATTTACATATATATGACATGTCAATTTAGACAAAAGAAGAATGTTTCGGCTAAAGGATAATTGCTTAATTGTTGTAATCTTTGTGATAGTTACATCGTACGTACTAACTATTAATTTAGATCTAAATTTGATTTCTATACTCTGTTACTCTGTTACATGAACCGAAGAATTGAAATTTCTGAACCGAATGAGCAAATGAATTGAAATTAATTTTGGTTTTGGTTTAAATATGAACCGAATCTGTTTTAGTATTGGTAGAGATAATTAGGGCCAGCCCAAGACTCGCTGAATTAGTAATGTACAATCATCAATATTCAATACCAACGAAACACGCAAATAGAAAAAAATGGGTGATTAAGTAATTGGGCCTAAGAGCCCATTTAGGATCGCAGAGTCAGAATTGCCATGAAAGTTGATTTTGCTCTGGAAGTGATTCTAGGGTTTGAAACATATCTGCCATGAAAAATCGGGAGCAGCAGATCTCAGAAGATCTCTATTGATGAGAAAATCTTCGAACTCGTTAAGAGAATAGTCAGACCCAATCCCAGTTTATCGAAATGTTCTCTAGAGTCCCGGGAAAGTCTATAGCTAGGTTTCGTTGCGTATCGGAATCCATACTTGGTCATCTTGATGTCACGGAGCAGTTCCTAACTAAGTCTGTGTCTCATCCACGGCTCTTGTTTTCCTTGGAATATACTGAAAAGTTCTTGGTTTTCTCTTCACCTCAACCTCAAAAACCAGATGAGAACTCTTCTCTTGTAGCCACCCCTTATAAGTGTTTTCCCAAATATTTTCCAACCAGAGTATCTACCGCCCTAGGTGGATTGGTATTCCTTCAGAATTTGGGAAGAAAAAAACCGCGGGTGATATGCAACCCCGTCACGGGAGAGTCTATAACCTTACCCAAAGTGAAAACGACTGGTGTTGGAGATAACTATTTTGGCTTTGATCCCATCAGCAAACAGTTTAAGGTGTTGTGTATGACTTGGTCACGTTATGGAACACCCAATACTCATCGGATTTTGACATTGGAGACTGGAAAACGTTTATGGAGGACGATCCAAGACCCAGTATCTCCCCATTATTCTTGGTATGATGGAATATGCATAAATGGCGTTTTGTATTACGTAGCTTTTTTTAAAGAATCTCGACGATCTTATAAGATAGTTTGCTTCGACTTTAAGATTGAGAAATTCAGCTTTATTAAATTAGATAAAGACATGGTACGTGGTGAGAAGTTGACTTTGTTCAACTACAAAGGTTGCATATCAGTATGCAAATTGGCTTAGAAAAGAAGAACTTGTGTTGTGGGTTCTAGAAGATGCTGGAAAACGTATATGGTCCAAAAGTATATGCATACTCCCACCTATAGTCCACAACTGCCTGATTGTTGGAATGACGGGTACGGGAGATATTGTGTTTTCGCCGTTCGCGGGCGATCTATCAATCCCTTTCTACATTTTCTTCTACAATATCGAGAGCAAGACTTGTACAAGAGTCCATATTAAGGGATTTGAAGAGTTTAAGCATCAATTTACTTTCGTTCACATATTTCTAGACTTTGTAGAGGATATGAAGTTTATGTAAGTGATGAGGTTCAAGGTTTTATAACTTGAGACTATATTTTGGATTTTCAAACTCTTAAAAATATGTATTTCTTAATATTTTTTGGATTTTATCTTAATTCAAAACATAGCTAATTTAATTCTATTATAATGTTGCATACTTTATACATTGTTAAAATCCCCCTCCTCCCCACAATAACGTTTTTTCGAAGCACCAAATAGCTTGGTTAGCGTTCTCTGGATCAAAAGTCATGATCACCTGCATATGATGACCGAGTATATGAACTAGACATGTATGTAGATTTCAAAAAACGTAAGTTGTGGGTCTAGAAGATACAAAATTAACACACTTCTAAAATTTGCCTAAAAATGTCTTGATGCAACACTCCTTACCACATATTTTCCAACTCCCAACTCATCATCAATATATTCTCGTGATCACCATTGAAGTATAGAGCTAATTAAGTGTCGTTGTGTATTGAAGCTCTATACGCCATCCATTTTTCGCTGCAAGAGTTATTCCCCATTAAGTATTCTTTTGTTTTAGGTTTTGAAATCATTCATATATGAATAATCCATTTCCAACAATTTGTTCCTATCAGATTTCATTAACATAAGTACTTCATCTATTCTAAAAGATTTGCTTCAAGACATTTCTAGTGTTCAATTTAGCAAATGTGACCACTAATGAGCAATGTTGTGATTCTTACTTTCTCTCTATCACTCACACTCATTTACAATTTCATTGTCTTAGAGAGGAAGAACAAAAACCATTATATTTTTAATCTTCTACATTGATAATATTCTTGGATAATCGTACACAACACATACATCTAGTGGTTTTTCTCCACTTGCTACAGTACACACACTTAGACTCTAGACCACATCATTATCCTAAGACAGTAAGACTTACATCAGCCACTCTACTATGTTGGAACTCCCAACTCTTTAATTCACTCTTACACAATCTATCTTAGACTAACAACACCACACTCATTAACTAAAATATACTTGGGCCTAACTTCAGCCCATTACAACAAAACCACAAAGCCCAACACCTTTCTTATGTTGACTTTGCATCTTTCTCTTTGTGTCGTTGACTTTTTGTCACGACATATTCTTTTGTTTTTTTTTTTTTGGTAAAAGGTTAAACACAACATCTTCTTCATCTTTTTGCTCGCTCTTCTTCGCTTAGCTTCTTCTCTTCTCCTCCTTCATCTCATGAAGCTTTTTTTCTCTTTTGCAGGTTCAATCAAGGATACAATTCCAACAAGCACTAGTAGCAGGTGAAACTTGTTTCTATTTTGTCCAATTTGTTCATTTTTTTTGGTTTTGCATCCTATTTTAACAGTAAAACACTAATGTTTGTTCTTACCTTGATTCTGGTTTTAATTTGTAAAAGATTTATATGACATGTCAGTTTGGACAAAAGAAGAGTGTTTCAGCAAAAGAAGATTTGCTTAATTGTCATATGTTTTTTATAATTATATCGTACTAACTATTACTTTATCTAAAATTAATTTCTATGAAAATGTCCCTGACTTTAATACTCTGGTACATGAACCGAAGAATTGAGATTTCTGGACCGAATGAACAAATCAATCAAACCCTTAAATCTTTTGGTTTAAATATATAAACCGAATATATTTTGGTATCCTTATTTAATAAATCACAAGTCATTTCTCTAATAACTGCACATTTATCCTTCAACCACGTGTCTTAAATCTTAAATTATGTACTTTCACTTTTTTCTTTTTTTACACTAATTTACGATTAAAATCAAAATTGACTTTTCCCCATCACCTCTCCCCCCGCCCCCCACCACCACCCACGATCTCTTGCTTCCCCTACAAAAAAAAAACAAACTTCCTCATCTTCATTTTTTTTTAATTCTGTTTTCATGCAACTTTTCTCGAAATAAAAAAAATTTAAAAATTTCAAAGATTTTGTTTCCTTCTAATTTACCCAATAACTAGGTTTCTCATCCCGACTATGAAATTAGTTTTCTTTTACCTTGCAATATCTTTGAGAAACTAATGTTATTTTCGCCCGTGCAGAGCACGAGCACGGGTCAAACACTAGTTGCTGATAAGATAACATCAATCTTTACTAAAGAGTGCTTAATTAGTGCCCATTTTGGATCCTTTTACTAAAGAGTGATTCTAGGGTTTTGAAACATCCACCATGAAAAACGTGGAGCAGCATTTCTCAGAGGATCTATTGATCACACAATCTTCCAACGCGGTAAGAAATTACTCATACCTAATCCCATTTGAGATTCTTATCGATATATTCTCGAGAGTTCCCGCAAGGTCTATAGCTAGGTTTCGTTGCGTATCGAAATTATGGGAATCCATACTAGGTAGTCCTGATTTCACAGAGCTGTTCCTGACTAAGTCTGTAGCTCGTCCACGGCTCTTGTTTGCTTTGGAAGTTGATAAAGAGTTATTCGTCTTTTCTTCACCTCAACCTCAAAATCCAGATGAGAACTCTTCTCTTGTAGCCACCCCTTATAAGTATTTTCCCAAAGATTTTCCAATCAATATATGTCCCCCGCTCAATGGATTGGTATTTCTTCAGGATTTGAAACGAAAACTGCAGGTGGTTTATAACCCCGTTACGGGAGAGTCCATAACCTTACCCGAAGTGACAGCAACTACAAGTTTTAAAAGAAGCTATTTTAGTTTTGATCCGATCAGCAAAAAGTGGAAAGTCTTGTATATGGAATGGTCACGTGATGGAACACCCAAATCTACTTACGTTTTGACATTGAAGACTGGAAAATGTTTATGGAGGAAGATCCAAGACCCAGTATTTCCCCATACTCCTAGATGTGATGAAATATGCATAAATGGAGTTTTGTATTACGGAGCTTCCGCTAAAGGATATTATAGCTATAAGATAGTTTGCTTTGACTTTAGGTTTGAGAAATTCGGCCGTATTAAGATAAATGGAGATCATACGTGGACTTTGTTTAACTGCAAAGGTAAATTAGGTGCACATCAGTATAACCTTTGGGGTTACGAAAAACTTACGTTGTGGGTTTTAGAAGATGCTGGAAAACATCAATGGTCTAAGAGTATATGCATACTGCCATCCATAGTCTACAAGAAGAACATGATTGTCGGAATGACTAGTAGCGGAGAGCTTGTGTTTACGCCATACGCATGCTATCTATCAAACATTTTCTTCTACAATATCGAGAGGAAGACTTATACAAGAGTCAATATTAAGGGATTTGAAGAGTTTAACCATCAATTTACTTTGGTTCACACCTTTCTAGACTTTGTAGAGAATATTAAGTTTATCTAAGTGTGTTGAAGGCTTTATGATAACTGTAGCTAGACTTTTTTTTTTTTTTTCAACTCTGATGCTATTATATATTTGTCAGCTTTATCAACATAGATGGCATGTTCGATGTGTATAATAATTGGACTTTGTTCAACTGCAAAGGTAAATTAGGTTTACATTACTATGCAGCTTGGTATAGACAAGAAGAAGAACTTGTGTTGTATGTTCTAGAAGATGCTGGAAAACATAAATGGTCCAAAAGTATATGCATACTCCCACCTATAGTCCACAACAACAATATTGTTGGAATGACTTGTACGGAGAGATTGTGTTTTCGCCGTACCCATGCTATCTACCAAGCACTTTCTGCATTTTCTTCTACAACATGGAGAGGAAGACTTGTACAAGAGTCAATATTAAGGGATTTGAAGAGTTTAAGCATCACTTTACTTTCCCTTACACCTTTCTAGACTTTGTAGAGAATATGAAGTTTATGTAATTAAGTGTGTCCAAGTCTTCATGATAACTTTAGCTAGACTTTGTTTTATTTATTTATTTCAACTCTGATGCTATTATATATTTCTCTTAAGATTGGTTGGATTTTATCTTAAAAACAGCTAATTTAATCACATTTAAGATGTTGCATTTGCAAGGAATTCTTATTTCTATGGGCTGTCTCTTTTAAGATTTCAACTCTTGTTTTAAAGCTTTATGTTTTGTGTATAGTACTTACCTATTTCAATTGATCAGTGTCTGTATTATAACTATAATCCTATTATTTTCGTTATATATGACTTATTTCTCATGCTGCTATATATTTTTGATTATTTTCCGATGGTATGATTAGAAAAATCACATAAAAAAACTTGATCAAGAAATTTCCAATAACTGGATTCTTGAATGCCTTCACAATAACTGAACACAAAGCACATTCAATGAGTAATCTCTGGCTATCATACTTCGTTCATGATCGTTCATGATCAGTCTTGTACTCTTGTTTTTAGGTTTGAAATCATATGAATCAATTTCCAAAACAATTCGTACCTCTCAGATTTGTTTTAAGATATATTTCATATTTCTAAATTGTTCATTTTCGTATTTAGATAAGTACTTCATCTATTCTAAAAGACATGTTAGTTTGGACAAAAGAAAAGTGTCTTAGTGAAAGCAAATTTCTTAATTGTACTGTTTTGTTAATTACACCGTACTAGCTACTAATTGATCTAAAACTGATTTCTTTGATCCCTGATTTTAACTCAGGTACATAAACGAGTCTTTTTGTTTTTGGCTTATTTATGAACCGAATCTGTCTTGGTATTGCCGATAAAAGTTAAGGCCAAACCAGGAACTAACCAGGTACATGCCTAGACCCAGCCAATGGTGAGCATGTAAGATCTTGAATATGATTAAGGGCCCAAAAGATATATCAGAAACATACGAACCTATCAATGATTTTGTATTTGTTCAAAAAAAAAAAAAAAATCAATGATTTTGCAAAAATTTATCTACATGTAAAATTCCGAATTTTTATTAGTTAAAGATCTTCTAGGAAGTAACGCTAATACTATATTTTTCAGATTATTTTTTTGAAAATATATACAGCTCATTCATGAACTTATAGAGGTTGTAAATTGATGAAGATCAAGCTAGGTAGGTTATTCAATATCAAAGCACCACTAAACAACGGTAAAAGTGAAAAAAAGAGGAGCTTTTCCGACAAACATTGAAACCAATTTTTTAAAAAGATTTTATTCAGTTAGATCCGAACCCCACCATAATATTTGGTCAATTGATGTTAGATTCTTGGCCCAGACTCATCACTAAAATTTGAAAGAAAAAAAAAACTATATCATAAATGCACACCAAATACCAATACGTGTAAACTCAATAATTTAATGAAAATAATATTATCGTTTCGATGTACTTTTGATAGCACCGCCTTTGTGGTAGTATCCCACAAAATATTGACGTGTTTGTAGTCAATACAACTAATTTCTTCGATAATCAATCAGTAACACCTTATCAACAATATTTAAACATAAAATGAACCCAAAAACAAACAAACAAATTGGCTTTTATTCGTGTTCATGTAGATAATCAATTAGCAGAAAAATACATCCACCATTATAATCTTTTCACATTTACACTTTTTTTTCTAAGAAAAAATGGTGGACGAGGATTGTAATGTGCATGTGCCAACACAACACATGGAGACAGTGTGCTGGATGGTTCATAGACCAGCATTTCATTTAGAATGGATCCAATGCTTATACTTGCAAATTCTATACTACGAAATAGCATCTTACCAACATTTCAATTATTAAAATATTATTGGATTTCAATCATAGACCAAATCTTTTATACACCTAAAAAGTTCGATAATTTCCAACATTACGCTCCATATTTTATTTTTCTCCAAGTAGGCACAAAAAAAACATATAAAATATTTACATATTATATTAAAAAAAGAGATAAATATTCAATGGACAACAGCTAAAAGATGCCTCTGTCTTCTCTGAACTAATATCGACAAAACTCAAAAGACAGAAAAAAAAACATTAAACACAACACTACTTCGCTACTTCAAATCCAACGGCCCACAATTTTTCTCCATTTTCTAAAAATACCCCAGTATTTCCAGAAATTACCAAATCGCCCAAGAATCCTCACCGTCCATATTCGAATCTTAGATCGAACGGCGATCATGAAAGCGAGAGGTAGACCTCACATTGTATTGAAGTCTTCCCAATCCTAAACCCTGGAACAACCGTGAACGCGACAAGTGGCTCAGATTCCGGTGAACTCTCCGCCGCCGGAAAAAACGCTTCTTCAGCTACACTCTTCATATACACTTCAGAGAATCTACAACCTTTAGGTACTCGAAAGATCTCAGCTTCATGTTCAAAAGAGAAAGCCAAGCAATGCAAAAGCCAAATCCTTTTTGCCATTTCAAGAAAACCAGAGCATAAGCTCGTCTCAGGGAATTCACCAGCAGAAACTTGGTTTCTCAAATGCAAATGTCCGAAGAAAGCTTGCTCCATCTTTGGATGTATAAGCTGCAAGTACTTCGCTCTACAGAACCTAGCGAATCTTGATTTAGGCCGCGCGGTTAGATAATCTTTCGATTTCATCGACCTGAGTTCTTTAAACCTTTCAAAGAACATTTCTCTATCTGCATTGCTCTGTTTCTTCTTCTTGTAGCTTCTTGAATCGCTTGAAGTTGAGAAGTACGGTAGATGAAATGCTTCGAACATTACATTGGAGACAAAGTGTTCGAAAGTGAAACACTTGTGGTCTTGCTTGTAGTAAAACACACCGGGATGGATCGAATTAGCAGCTGATGAAATATCCCAACCGGCGAGTTTCATTTGTTCGATCATTAGCTTCACGAATCCTCTGGTGGATTTGACTGTGTGGTGCAGATAAGTAACAAAATGCGTTGGATTTAGTGCCGATAGGTGAAGATTGTCAAGAGGATTGCAAAGTTGTCCGCTTCCGTTAAGTCTCTTCTCTGTCAACTTGTTCTGTTTCATTGATTCATCGAGTTTCTCTCTCAGAAATATAATCTCGGAGTCTTTAAGCTTATACTGAGACTCAAGCTTCTTCCCCATTATCTCATACGTTTTCAATAGACTCCTCAGCTCTTGAATCTCCGCGAGAACCAAAGTCCTTTCGGGATTTGGATCCACCTGTTTCTTCAAGAAACATTGTTTCAGCTCAGACAAAGTCTTAAGCTCGGCGACTACCAAGTTGTCTGCTTTTTGAATCCCAATCGAGTCATACGGAGACTGAGAATGCTGTAACTGCGCATAAGCCGCTTTTATGGAAGAAACCGTAGCAAAAAGCTTCGCAAGAAGAGCTTCAAATGCCAGACTTCTCTCATACTCTTCCTCAAGCTTGTAGAAAGACTCAGACAACTTAGCGGTTTTGGAATCGAACTTTATCTTCTTCATTTCCCCTTCTGGAGCAACACCCGTTAGCTTATGAATGTTAAGAACTTTAGCAAACTTGCGTCTGAGTTTACCCTTAGGAGCAACAACCATTGGTCTCACAGTCTCCATCTGCAGATCCATTACAAAAAGAGCTTAGTAAGGAGACAACAGAATCAAGAACACAGTAACAAATAAGACAAGAATCACCACAAAAGGAATTAAAAAGAGAAGGAAAGAAGAGAGTGAATCAGACTTGTAATGATGATTTTTTCGATACATAAAGAAAAAGAGGAACAAGCTTTAATACTTGGATCAAGGACCGTTAATGGAGGGCCAAGCATCTTTTTAGTAATATCTCTAAATAGGACTTGCTTTATCAAAGAAACTAGTGAAGAACTATATGAAAAAAGGCTCAAGGTAAAAGAATGTTTCACTAATAGTGATCAAAATATAAAAGAGAGAACTACACATAAATATCTAGATACATATATACAATGAATATACATCTTTAAAATATTCATCAAGAGTTGTGAAGAGTTCATGGTTCATGCTTAGAAAATGCTATTTTTATAAGAGAAGGAATAAAAAAATAAGCAAGTTGTGTGTATACCATTTCTTTATATGAATGAAACCCAATCTACTTTTTTTATTTCTTTCTTATTATTTATGTGAATATGTTTGCTCTTTCTGCGAGGCTATTTAGTCAAAATGTGCTGCTACAGAATCAAACAAATACTAAAAAAATTGCACCCATATAATCTCTGCATTTGCACAAAAAAAAAAATAATAATCTCTGCAAAAAACACATGACTTATGCAGAATAATTCAGTAGAATATATTTGTTTATTTTCACCTCTCTAAAAACTACCATTAATTAAAGAAACAGAACAAATCTATATTAGTATGTTAAAAACCCTAATGTGAAAACAGTACAAACCTTAAAAACCAAATGTATGGGTGAAAACTGATTATTAACCATTTGAAACAACGGGACAATTTCAAAGCCTGACATACCCACCAAATACATTTAGTACAATCAGACACAAGACCCACAATGTCTCACTGTGGTTTTAGACTCTAGAACGCACTAGCAACAGCGGTCTACTCGCTATGCAGCTAACCAAACAGACCCTTAAGACATTTCTCATCTACAAACCCTAGGAACAGAGTTCATTGGTCTAAACCAAAGAGAGCTTGAAAATGATTATGAGACCTGAAGATGTGAACATAACCACTAAAACCCTGAGATTTTCAAACTTTTGATTCAAAAGTTTGACAATTTTAGAAGCAAGTTTTCATACAAACACACTTAATAAAGTCAAAGGTCGTACCTTGCTAAAGTCCCAAGTTTTTTCTTTGTTAATTTTTTGAAATTCTCACTTCATTGTAGAGTAAATCTGAAGAAAGAAATTGATAAACCAACCTCTGCTTAAACCCTGCAGACTAAATCAACCCAAATAGAAATTACAAATCAACCCAAGAATGAGAAAAAAAAGCCATAGAACAGAGCAAGAGAGAAAAAAAAAAAAAAAACTAAAAAAAAACAAAGATGAACAAAAGATCCAAACTTTTTTTTTACCTGTAAAAGAAGAAAGTCCTAAAACCCTTTTAGAGAATCGACTATATATATAAATGAACAAAAAAAACAATTAATGCAAATAAATTCAACATTATTGTTATTAGCTAACAACAATGGAGGTTAGGCCCACGGCCAGCGACATGAACCTTCCATAACAATAAAAATTGAAACTTTGAAAAGAAAAAAAACTAAGCAATAATGGAATCGAATCATTCACCAGAAACCCACATGAAAGTTTAACAAAAAAAACTTGATTAAGTGAAAATAATGGCTTAAACACTTACCCAAAATAGATCTCTCTGTTTCTTTACCTTCCTTTCAATGTTTACAGATTCGTCCAAAGAAAGAGTAGAGAGAAGAGAGTTAAGAGGTTGAAGATGAGAGAGAAAATGAGAGCTGGAGATGAGAAACGGTCAGAGAGGAGAAGAAGAAGAGAGTAATGTGAAATGACGGAAAAGGACAAAAGACAGAGAGAGCAAAGAAAGAGCATTGGGAGATTCAAATTGAAGTTTCCGAAAATACCCTTAAAAGCATAGGCTATTTACACCGGCCGTTGTGACTTTGTTTAGGGAGAGATCTCGAGATGCGCGAAGGGTGTTTTTGGTCATTTCGTAATTGTCAATATTCTTATTTCTTATGGACTTGGGTGGGCTTATTAATGGGCCAACTAAGAGATCAGGTAAAGGCGTGAACGGTGAATCTATTGGGCTTATCTGTTTTGTTACGGGCTCAGCTAAATTTGATTAAGAAACAGGTTCCGATTGGTGCGGTTAAGATTTTAATGACGGTTACGAAGAAGATGATTAAGATTGAAATGTAAAATGGTAAAAAGTAGTGGATGGAGAAGATGATATAGTAAAAAACGACAGTTTAATAGTAAATTTGATAACATCATAGTTGAATTGTATAACTGGTTAAATTCATAAAGAACAAAATTGATTAAACTAATTAGATAATGTGACAAAACAAAATTTTGGTTAAAAGTCGTGGTCAAAATTGCTGAAAAATCCAAAAAGATACTCCCTCCGTTTCAAAATATAAGTCGTTTTAGCTAAAAGCACGCCGATTAAGAAGATCTACTTTTTAAAAGTCCAGCCAATCATAAAAGAGACTGCATAATAGAAATAATTATAAAATATTAAAGTAATATATAATTTACATAGAAACTTGAAAATGAATTATATTGTGAAACAAAAAAGTTTATCCAAAACACCTTATATTTTGAAACGGAGGGAATATATAAATTTATGTCTATCTCTTCACGACGTTCACATAAAAAGAATATATATTTTTGATAGTCTTCTTTACATGCAAACGCTTTCAACGTTTGGTTGGATCAATTCGTTCACACAACCAAAAAAATCTATGGACAATGGCCTTCATGCGACCGCCCCATATCAATAGATAAGAAATGGTCAAAAAAATTTATTTGAGGCAAAACTAATCTTAAAACAAAATTTGTAGGTTAAAAAGACTTAAATAAACAAATTTATAGATAGATAAAATGTGTCCAAAAAAAAATTATGAGCAAAAAAGAGTTCATAAATTTTATTTTTATATAACTACAACATAAAGAAAAAAGCCTTTATTTACAAAAATTAATTCTATAATTTATATGTTTTGGGGTCTATTTTAAAATTTTCACAAAAACCCGTTAAATGTTTAAACCGGCACTGTGTCTAACTGTTTTTTCACGACTACGAACCGTTTATATGCTACCTATGCTACCTAAAAAGCTAAAACAATGAGTCCCAAAACGAAATGATTGGTGGCTACTAGGCCTGGGCATAAAACCCGAAATCCGAAAACCGATCCGAAACCGATCCGAAAAATTCGGAACCGAACCCAAACCGAATAGTCACAAAATCCGAACGGATAATGAATTCTCCTATCCGAATTACCCGAACCGAACCCGATCCGAACCGAAAACCGAAAAGATATCCGAAAACCGGAGATAAAAATTATATATCCAAAAATATTAGTTATATTTAGTTGTAATTTTATAGCAAATAACAAAAATATCCTAAATATCCTAGATTTGGGAAAAATTTTAGTTATATTTGTTAAAATTATACATATTTTTGCAAAATTTAACCAAATTTTAGTAAGATTAAACCAATTTTTATTAAGATTGAACCATTTTTAAGTTTTTTTTTTTCCGAAAACCGATCCGAATCCGACACCTATCCGAACCGAAACCGAACCGATGACTCATAAAATCCGAACGGATAATAAATTCTCCTACCCAAATTATCCGAATCCGAATATATCCGAACCGAAACCGAACCAAAAAATCATAAAATCCGAACGGATAATAAACTCTCATACCCGAATTATCCGAATCCGAATATATCCGATCCGAATCCGATTTGAAATCCGAATGCCCAGGCCTAGTGGCTACTACCTGCAAAATCTTAAATATACATGTTTATGAGTTATAGGGGGTGATTGGACGACACTTTTAAGAATTTAAAAAGTTTTAAAAGCTTTTTTTTTTCCAAGCTTTTTTGGCTTTTATTAGAGTATAGTATAGTTATTTATATACTTGTAAATACACTTTTACTGAATAATGAGAAATAACATCTTTTCACTCTCTCTACTTCTGATATGGTATCAGAGCCGTTGAAGATAAAGAGGGAAACATTAAGTCTCCGGTTCGAACCCGACGAACCGGAAACTGAAATTTGACGGCGGAGGTAGAACGAGAAGCGAAAGCAGAAACACTAAACGATTCTTTCGAATTCAGCGACGGGATTTTAATAAATTTTAAAGCCTTCAAAGTCTCTTTTTTTTTTTTACTCTTTACTTTCATTTTTTTTTAAGTCACGTAAATGAAGCTTTAGAAATAAATAAATTAAAAGTTTATAATTTTTTTCTTTTTTCTTTTTCTCATATGTATGTAAACTCTTATAACATTCACAAATAAATTAATTTTTAAAAAATTTCAGTTGATTTACAATTAATTTTTTTTCTTGTTCTTTTAAGACCAATTTTTCCATATATTTGGTGGTTATTTAGAATTGTAATTTTTACAGTCATTGTTTTTACCAATCAGTTATAAAATTTATACAGTCAAAGTTTCACAGCAAAAGTTTCTACAACGAAAGTTCTTAGAGTCAAAGTCTTCAAAACGAGAATTAACAGTCGTTACTAGTCGGTCCCATAGGCTCTTGATAAGTAGTATACAAGTCAATCATAGTTTGTTTCCTTGTTTGAAAAATTGCTAGGCGCTAGTTAGACGTTCGGTATAAGCTAGCGATTAATCAGAAAATTGGATTAAAATCGGAGATTAATCGGGGACTAGTTTTAAGGTTATTTTAATAATTTTAAAACATAATAATTTAATAGTGTTTTTAAAATTGCAGTAAATATATAAAATATATTTTTGAGACAAATTTTTATGATTTTTATTAAAAAAAATATGATTTTTATTAAAATTTGAACATAACTTATTGTAAAACATTACAAACTCCCAATACTAATGTTTGAATAAACAAATAAAAAGTTTTTTTTTATAGTTTGCAATCTAAAAATAATCGGATTATGTAAGATTAGGCATAAAGTAATCGGATTAGAGGAGAAGTAATCGGATTAGGCGGAGAGTAATCGGGTAACTGATTTCTTTAGTGGATTAATCATTAATCGAGACGGATAGGATAACCTAGCGATTAAACGGAGAGTAATCGGATTAGGCGGGATTTTTAGAACAGGGGTTTGTTCCAATGAAAGAGTTTTCAGTCATAATTTTGATGTTTATAAAAATTTCGGAAACAATTTCAGTTATTTGTTCTTTTCTATCTTCTAAATTTGGACCCAACAAATTCAATATACTATGGGACCAGACCAGTTGATTGTGTCACATATGAACACAATTTGCAATCTCTGTCCTAAATTTAATTTCTCATGATGACGAATATACAAATTTTCTCTGTATCTTATATATTATAGTAATGAAAAATTAATATTTTACAAATTATGTTCCTCAGTCATAAATTACGTACAACAAGTCAGGGTTTCCAAACTTTTTTTTTTTTTTTTTAATATTGTTTTTCAGGGTTACAATTTTGAAATGACTACTATTCTACAGAAAACTTTTTGATATTACAACTTGAATTTGGAAAGGGAAATCTGCATTTTGACCCTAAAAAACTGAATTTTATTTTCTAAATCGCACTATATAAATCAAGGAAACAGTAAACAATCTTAGGGCATCTACTATCTAGCTACCAAAATACATATTTGCCACGCTATACAATTATTTTCTTAAAGAAAATATTGAATAAACTTAGAAAGACAATATCTATATTCCTTAATCAACCGTAAATGTTGATACTTTTATAAATTTTTAAAACTGTAATTATACCTTAGGTTTATATGTCCCTTGTCCTAAATCCTAATGAATCATTCAACGCACTCTCTTCTCTATCTTCTTCTTCTTGTCGAGGTCAATGATGGCAGATTAACCTGCAAATTTCAAGCTTTGTAGATTACTAGTAAACAAAGCTTCATCAAGAATTAAGCAACTTCAATTTTTATGGATTCTTCAGCTCCCAAGTCATGAACTTCAATTCCTCACAAGTCTGAAGTCACAATGTACGTTTCTTTAATTTCTGTTACTCTTTTAGTCTCTGGAAATTAGGCTGCTTTTGAGTTCTGCAATGTGAGAAAGAAAAAGTAAAACTTGTTCTGTTTTGTGATGTGATCTGGAGAAAAAGAAAGAACTTTTAAGTTTCTGGGTTTTCTAAATCTTGAAATTAGATTGTTTTTGAGTTCGTTTCTTCTTAATTTGTAAAAGAACTGTGATGTGATATGATAAGACAAAAAAAATTCAACCTTTATGTAGCTAAACCCAAAATCAAGCTTAAAAATTGATTAGAAATATATGAAATTAAGATGGGTCGTTTTTCACATTGTTCGTCACGTTCTTCGCACACAGAGAAGACCAACATCGTTTCTCCTACCTCCTTCACGTTTCTTCCCTCTCCACTCACAAATCACAATGTCTCAAACATTCCATTTAAAGGAATTGAAAAAAGGCTCTCTTTTTTATGTTTTTGTTTGTGGTTTCTTTGCATCTGATTTAGCAACTTTCTCTTTTGTGTTCTTTAAGCCTTTTGAATCTCAGGATGAGTGTGAACCGGCGAAATTGGCTCAAACATGGATGTAATCTCAGATTGGTGATCTTAATTATGTGGTTGGTTTGTTATGTTGGTAATGGTCAAACTATTGCGGACACCAGTGAGTTCAACAATCCAGCTGTTCTTCCGCTCGTTACTCAGATGGTTTACCGCAGTCTTTCTAATAGCACCGCTGCTCTCAATCGTGAGCTCGGTACCAGGGCAAAGTTTTGCGTCAAAGACCCGTCAGTTTTCTTCCTCTTAGACTATATTCTTGCACTTTCTTTACTTGTTTAGTTTCATATTTTGGAAATTTGTATCACTATTGCAAACAAATGTCTCATTTTATTCTAAAGATTTCAGCTTAGTGTTTAAGATATCAGGCCCTAAAGAGGGTGTGTAACTTTCAATTCTTGGATCTTAGATATCGTTGATGCTTTGATAGCTTCATTTGCTTAAGTTTAGGTGAAATGTGTTCATTTAGTTTACAAAAGTTTTGAGATATATTTTGCTCAGATTGTCCTTTTGTTGAAATCACAATCTCAGGGATGCTGATTGGAATAGAGCTTTTAATTTCTCCTCCAACTTGAAATTCCTATCTTCTTGCATTCAGAAAACCCAAGGTAATGGACTTTTACTTAGCACAAACCGC